AAAAATATATCTTTCAAATTACCATTTTTTAAGGAAATATTTATTTTCATCTCAGTCTCAAATGACCAGTGAGAGATGTATGAAGGTAAGTAACGGCAGAATTTGACCCTACTTTTTTGTGAGAGAGGGAATTGTGATGAAATATGAAAACTAAGTCACTGTCTTGTAATTCTTCTTGGTCATACTTGTTTTCCAATAATTGTTGAGGGTAGTCTTAGTGAGAAATTATTGGTTTTATGCAGAGGATCCTCTGTCTATGGCTTGGATGAGATTATGGCAATGGTAGAAAAATGAAATGTCCAACAATTGACAGAGTGACAATCCTAGTACTTTATCACCATGATTGGTTTTTTCATTTGGTACTGCTGGGTACATATTCAAAGCATCTCTGGCTTGAAGTCGAGAAAAACATGGCCTCCCATAACATAGAACAAAAAACTTCTCCACTTTTGAGCCAACTGCCACTTGTAAGCTTTGAAACAAGCTTACAAAGACAAAATCTTAAGATATTTGGATTCTTTTCAAGTCTTGAATTTAATTGCACTCAAACAAAACCATGGGTATGAAGTACTGAAAATAATATGATTTTTTGTTTGTTTGTTTATGGGCAGTTTGCATGCGCCTTTTTTCCATTCTCTACACTCTTCTTAAATTTTGAAATTTATACAATGCACGGCATGAATATAAACAAGAGTGATAAATGTTATGCTAGGCAGTAGAAAAAGACATTTCTCATACCACCAGACTCTTACAGAAAATCTGTATTAATGAGAAGCCTTTAGCCCTGTATTGCAGTATAACACTGAATGGAATTAAATTGTTGCATGCTGTCTGGTTTTTGCATATACCAAAAATACTAAAATAGCAAATTTTCAGACTTCAAAATAAAATCTCATCAACTTCCCAAAGAATACACAGAACTTAGTGTGACTGGACCAACATTATTCTCTTAAGTCCTTCAATCAAAAATCTGTTTGTTAATATCATATTTCAGTGTCCTGTGTTGATATTCAGGAATCTTTTGTGTGCCTTAAAAGTGGGCACATTTTTCCCAGTTATTTAACTTTTTTGAGCTGGTTTCTCCTTCTACTTACTTTTACACTACAGGAAGTAACAAGACAAATTCAAAATCCATGTAAGGCAGTATAGCTTCATTGATTTCACTGGAGCTATGTAAGTTTTCTATCAGCTGAGCATCCTGGCCATTGATTTTCACAAAATTACAGGCAACCCCTGCTTAACGCTTAACGCTATTTTGCTTAGCGCTATTTCACTATAACGTTCATTTTAAATTGATACCTGATTTCACTTAGTGCTCAGCCAGTTTCACTATAACACTGCGGCTGCCATCGTGAGTCATTAAAAACACTTGCAGTCGCCATCTTGGGTTGTCAAATACTTTTGATTTCACTTAACACTTGTTTCGCTTAATGCTCGTTTTTTCAGGAACCAATTAAGAGCGCTAAGCGGGGGTTGCCTGTATACCAGATCTCTGAGTTCTAGAAGAACTAATCCCACTATGTAAAATTTGGACAGCTATAGAAATGCCGAAAAATATTACTTGACTACCAGTGCATTTACAGATTTGCTTTGAGTTTGCTCTTCTGTGTATACATTTTACACTTGTGTAACTTTATTAATGTCACTGGAGTTACTGCTTATTTATACTGACTAATTTGACAGCATAAGCACCTCCTTTGCATCTTCTCATAAGATGTCTGCTTGCACTTAAATGTGTTATAGAAAAAACATAAGCTCAGGGTTTCAGAGTTCCAGAACGTACATCAGGATTTTTGTCTCAACTCACTATTGAGATAAGTTCCACTTACAAACTTGGGGTCTACATTTAGTGTTGGATGTCAAATAGGTCTCATGTCTGTTTTTCATTTGTTACCATCTCTAGAAAGAAGTTCACAGTCAATAGACTTCATTGAGTCACATTATCCATATAAATTCCATTCTAAATTCACGTGTGATGGTTTGGGGTTGTTGGTTTTTTTGCAGTGCTGCTTGCTGTGGTCATATCTGTGCTGCTTGTATCCTCATGACCACTAGAGCTGAGGTATTCAGGGATGTAAATGCCTCAACAGCTGATTGGTTGTTTTGTTAAGAGAACGGGACTTAAAGTAACACTGAATCGAATCACAGTCCTGCCGAATCCGAATCCAAACCAAATGCTTTCCACTTTGCACAGGCCTACTTACTTGCACTAGGAGGAGACCTGCAAACTGCCTAAATGCTAACATTACTATTGGCACATAGCTGCTTTGAGCCATTTGGATACGGAAGGATATGCATCAACAAAAATAAGTAATTAAATTGGGCACAGAAAGTGAAATAGAATTGTACCCAAAGAGTACCAAACTGATATGAGAAATCCTTAAGAAATGAGCACAGAGCTGATATGGAACAGAGATGAGAGGTAATTGTAAAAATGTATTAACGGCAAAGTTTTTGCTTAACTAAATTAATCTATTATCACGGTGTATATAAGCATGTGTAATATCCTAGGTTGAATGGCTGAAGTAATGATGGTAGGAACAGTATAAAATGGGCATGTTTCAGACTAGGGTCTCAGACTTGGTCAGAGTCTACTTATCATTCACTGCTTGATTAATGATGCTTTTAAGATAATGCATTAGTATTATGGCTTGTCTTTTTCTGATTTGATCATAATCTCATAGAAGTTTTAACTTAACACTAAATGTTATCCAAAACATTTTCTGAGAGTTCTTTAAATGCCAATGTTGTTACTCTTAAATCAAATTGTTGGGCTGAACCCAATAGTACTATGAAGATCTAATTAAAACAAGAGTAAATACTAACATTGGCAAAAAATATATATTTTGTATTAAATCATAAAAATCGTTATTATTTGCATCCAAATTGTAGTAAACAAACACCTTGAAATCAGTCTGTTTTAAATCCTGTAAAACACAAATAACTTCTTTACATTTTCAGTAATTTTTTAAAAAGTGAGAGAAGGGGCTTTAATCGTAGCAGAACTGAAAGCACTTTTGGTCACTTGGGGTCTTGCAGATAGACAGGAGATGGATAAGATAAACCAAAAGTCCAAATCAGGTGGAGTTCCAGGACCTGTCACTGCATAAAAATGGTGCCGTGTATATCTACAATCTTAACAGTTTCAGTTGTGACAAAAGAGTACCTCTGAAGTCAGCTGAGATTGTCACCCCAGATGGAACATACTGTGGAGAAATAGGGTTACTTCTCCAAATTCGAGAAGGGAGGGAAATAAGGGACACCAAGGCAGCCATTTTGCCCAAGATGCTGTCAGTCAGAAAAAAAAATCTAGGAACATGTTGAGATTGCTGATATCAAGGATGTGACATAACCACAACTTGTGGACTTAATGCCTTCTGAAAGCAGTAGTATTCTTTCTTGGGGAGATTCTCTGGTCTACGGAACATAGGGTAGCTCTGAGAGTAATTGAATATTATCCATTAGTTTAGTTAATAGAGTGGCTATACGTATTTTAAACTCTGCATTATGTTACTGTTTTGGCTGGGAAAGGAAGAAGCTCAAAATTATACCACGGGCCATCTTAAAGGCACAGGCAGAGGCACATGAGAGTTCTGCTTGGTCTGGACACAACCACTGAATGAAACTGACCTTTTTGGCTATATGACAGCCTGAATGTGTCATAGAGCCGCAGCTGGCTGGGAAGAGCCCTGCCCCTGCAACCTGGCTTATCCCAGGCCAGCCCCTTCCCAAGCGGCTGCAGCTCTGTGACATCCCAGCCCAGCACACACAGGTGGTGGCTGGCCAGGCAGTGACATGGAGCAACAGTGGTGGCAGAGGCTGAGGGCAAATGAAACCCCACAGCAGGTGGCTGCTGGGCTCCGGCCTGCCAGCACCTCCAAGCCAGCCCACGCAGCCGCAGGCATGATGAACTCAGCGCCAGGCAAGGCGGGCAGCTGGCAGGGCCATACCAGCCAGAGTCTGGCTATGCCCCCACCCCTGCCGCTGGAGTGGGCAGGGGGGATCCTAACAGGGGCTACTCTGCCCTGGGCAGGCAGACCCCGGCTGCAGTCAGGGGTTTGAACCTCTTTCTACTGAAGTTAATTTGAAAAGTGCAGATTTGTGAGTTTAAATGCTTATTTTCAGAGAGAGAAAACAAAATCACTTAACATATTACACGGGAGCTAACAGTATAACCAGACTTAATTGGCAACTATTTGTAATGAGAGCTCCATCAATTGTTGTATCTTGACTACTTTTCGACTATCCCAGAACATCTTACAGATCCTCAGCTCATCTCTTTCTCTCCTTACCCCACTTACGATAAGTCACAATTAGACTCTATCACAGTGAAATGCAGTGCAGTGATACCTGAGCTAGGTTGCCCAAACAAAGTGGGTTACAAGATGCAATATAGCCATGATTGGCTCACATGCTTACTGCTATAGAGGGGACCTATAACTATTTCTTTGCCTTGGAATAGGGATGTAGAGATGGAAGTCCAGTTAACAAATGAACTGAAGAGTTTAAGATACAGAGCTCTTAATAAGAGTTCCTTCACTCTGAGAAGAGCCTAAGACAGAAAAGGTCCATTGATATTTGCCAGTGTTCCTCACCCATACCTCTGCACGAGGGTCGGACTCGATGATCTGGGGGTCGGACTCGATGATCTATTGAGGTCCCTTCCGACCCTAACATCTATGAATCTATGAATCTATGAGTTAAGTTAGGTTAAGTTATACTGTGCTTTACAGGCACACCCTCGATGCTCTGTTTTTCAGTATGCATGGGCATGCACTAAACAGAGCTCACTCTGTCCCTGGTTTCTTCTTAGAAGGATTTTAAGGAATTTAGCCATAGCACAAATATTGATAGAGAACAGACCTCTGTAGAATATCAAATGAGAACATTTTTACATAGAACTAGCTTTTTTTCCAGGGTAATGGCTTTCTTGATAATGCTGCACTAATATACTTGGATTATACCACTAAAAAGTGTTCTATACTTGATTTTTTTTCCAGATTAACGCAACAGATGGTGATCAAGAAGAAGAGGCAGAGGAAGATGACACTTATGTGGTCATGCTCCGTTCAGATTCTCCACTTACCTCTTGTAAGTAATACTGTATGGAAGGTTTTCAGTTACATTGTACCACATTGTGCCTGTGGTACCTGGTAGATGGTGATACCTAGAAACTCTGAGACTGTCAACAAACAACAAGGAAGAGTTATAATGCTCTCATTCTCAGAATTGAGCCTTTAATTTCCAGGGAGTTTTTTAGTACACAGTTGTGTAACCAGGGGACACAGTTGTGTGCCTATGATGATGCAATGCAGTGATGCTCAACCTCTGGCCTACAGGCCAAATCCAGCTCGCTGAGCTGTGTCATCTCAGGCCTGGCCTGTGGGGCTTCCTACAGGTCCAGAAATTTGGCAGTGGGGAGCAGTGGCAATTAACACTGTCATAGATTTCATAGACATTAGGTCTGGGGCAGGAATTCAGCTGGGGTCAGATCACCCCAGCAAGATAACCATCCAGGTGTTTCTTAAAGGTGTCCAAAGTAAGTGCTTGCATCACATCTAGGGGGAGTCTATTTCAGACTCTGGAGACTTGGACAGTAAAGATGTTTTTCCTTATGTCCAGTCTAAAATGGTCTTCCAGCAATTTATTATCGTTTGAACTTGTCTTTCCTTGGGATGCCCTAGTGAACAGATGTTCTCCTAGTTCCTGATGCACGCCCCTTATATGCTTATAGGCTATGAAATCTATGAAGGCGTGCAGCATGTCCTCACCTTTGCAACTAACCACCTCAACTGGCTAGTGGGAATGATTACTGATTTACCAACAGCTCCCTTCTTCTCCACTTCTTTGAGGCTCTCTTCTGCAGCAAGTTTTATACCATATTTACCCAAAGACAGCTTCAAATTTAAGACAACCACCCAATAATTAGATTCTAGACAGACGTTTAGAGATGTGTTATAATTTTCCATGTATAGAATTTAGTTATTGGGGAGATCATCTTGAATTTTCCCCCCACTGCTGAAGCAGGGGAAGCAGATGTGTGGGGGGAGAGGAGGTGTGGGGGTGTCAAGGGAGTTAAGTGGCCTGACCACTTGGCCCCCTGCTGCCTACCCTGCTGGTACCTGTGCATCCTGGCTCCTGGTCTCCCAACCGCATTGCCTGCTCCCCACCCCTAGTACCTGCCCCAGTACTTGCCCCCCTGGTACCTGCCCCCATGCCTGCACCCCTGTGGCACCTGCCCCATGCCACATATCTCCTATACCAGGACCATGCCCCAGGGACAGCCATGGCACCCCCTCATGGCCACATGGCTCCTACCCCCCACTCTGGCTCCCTGGGGTACCCTCCCTTTTCCTTACTTGCCACGCCTTATGGAACTATTATAATGTTACAGGAGGCTGCCCCAGGGTCCCAGTGAAGCCTTGTTCACATTGGCCAGCTGGCACCTTTTGTAGCTGTCTACAAAAGGAGGCTAGATAATCACCTAGCCAGGGTTGTTTGACCCCAGCATTCTTTCCTGCCCATGGCAGGGGGTCAGACTTGATGATCTACTTAGGTCCCTTCCAACCCTACCAACTATGAAACTATGAGTAAATGTGCTCTGTGACCAGGTCCAGAACAGGGCTGGAGCTGGAGCCATGGAAGATAAGTGGTGGCAGAGAGGAAGGGAGCAGAGGCAAGTGCACAGGCAGAAGGAGGGGCAAGTGGCCTGGAGAGGCATGCGTGGGGAAGCTACGGCACTGGGGGGAGGGGGAAGGGGGGGCAACCAGGAAGAGGGTGTAACAGGGGTCAAGGCCCTTGTTACTTTATGAAGGAAAAGCAGCTGGCTGCTGCACCCGAGGAGGGCAGGCTGCCATCAGCCCAAGGAGAAACCTTGGTATGGCTGGAGAGCCACGTGCCAGGAAGGGGTGGGACTTTGCAGCACATAAGCCCGGTCCCTGAGCCCATGCAGGCAATCTGCTCCTGCATGCTGCAGGGCGGGGAGCTCCTGGAAGAGAAGGGCTGCTGGAGACCAACAGACAGACACCCTGAGCCTTTGGGGTCCCCAACGCCCAGGATGGGCTGCTCTCACTGTCTCAGCACTCAGCATCCCTGACCCCAAGCTAGGCTGCGTGTCACAGAGTGCCCTACCAGGCACCCCTCCATGGTCCTCCAGTCTCAACCTCAAAACATAACATAATGCAAACAAGCCACTTCACAAGAAAAAGTCTTTCCTACTTAGGGTTACTGTTGCCTACAAGCCATAACTCCCTTAAGGCCAGAGCCAACCCAAGCAGGTCAGCCTGTGCAGGGCCGCACACCCACCCTGATTCCATGCACCCCAGATGCAAAGCCGGCAGCAGGGAGGAAGTCGGAGTAGCAAGCGGCTGGACGCAAAGCCAGCAGCGATGGCACAGTTGCCACCGCCACTCTGCCCAGCTCCCCGGGGCCTGGAGCAGTCGCCCCGATTTCCCCG